TTTCCACCGAATGCGGAGTTCGTCTGAATAATAACTGGTATGAATTGCGTGTACGTAGCCGTGAGTTTTCGCGAGGATGCGTTGTATTTAGGTAACGGCCTAAATTATGTTTACTTGTTTACGCGCACGGCGTTTCGTGCGAATACGAAGAAACGTAATGTGGGCTAGTGGCGAACGCAATCGAGGATACTGGAACGCGCGAGCGTGCGTGCACGCGTACTGCATCCTAATGCGTGTGCGAATGACCCTCGTGCAAATGCACGAGTTGCATTTGTGTACGGTCGCGCATGCGGCACATGTGCTAACCAGATGATGCGCTGCGGGATACGAGATAATTGTCATACGAGTCTGAGTCTCCGGTATATTATTCCCTAATTATACGAGCGCATCAGCATCATTGATATATCATGGCCAGTTAATTGATAACACAGATTCCTCGCCGCGAGGAACGTTAAGTGCAGATTAAGATAAAGTAAGTCGAAATCGAAGATCGCACAAACAAAAAGTGCGGAAGCGACAGCGAAGATAAAAGAGGAAATCTATTATAGAATATGATGATATATTCATACATATGCACGAATATTATGAATATTTCATACAATATGTATATTTGGTTTGAATATCTGATATCTGCAATATTTCGATTCGAAATGATAAGTAATGCACGAACTTTGATTTAATAATAACATGAATAACACGAGCAATATAGCGTAAAATTTATGTGTATTTTACTTTTCCCAATTTTTTCACTATCAGAAAAATTGATTAACTATCATGAAACATAATTTTCAAATCTCAAGTTTCTCGTGTTTGAACAGACAAAGTAGAAGACCGTTGCGAATAGCAAGCGAATAGAAAATAGATCTCTCTCTCGCAAGAATGCGAAACAAAGTTTATAATAATTAAAATTTCGTGCAAAATCCCGGCGAAGGATAATTTTCAGTTGATTTACTCGCGCCCCGCTCGATTATTCTCTCAGTTCACGCGAGCAGCAACGGCTGGATGGCGGCGATGCAGCTCGCGATAGGGCAGATATAAACGCCACGGTTCATTAGTATTCTAAGGTCAGGTTCTGATCGTCGTTCAAGCATGAAAGAATTCTTGACTACGCGAAGATATTGCCAGGCTGCAGTGAACAGGTGCGCGAAGTTTACGAGGTATCATGCATTTACTGCATAATACTCTCACTCGGATATTTTCCTCCGCGTAATAGCTTAGTTTCTTCAAAGACAAAGGATTTTCTATCTTTCTGATTGCGATGCTGTCCCTTTAATCGCGAACAGCACGTCCTATCAAGTTACGAGGCGAAGTAGCCTCATTATTAAAATCACTTAGAATGCACTGAACACGTCAGATACTGCTTTGTCATATTTTTTCATTATGTTTCTCATTATCGTTGCAAATCGAGTTACGTGACAATACGGTAATTATCATAGCTCCACAAATTTGACCCGTTTTTTTTTCTCTCAATTATAATTGTCACTGCGGATTGTACGATACACACAGCCTGAATTAATGAGCTGTCCACGGTGCTCTGAATTCCGAACTTCAAGTCCGATTGTTTCGATCGACAAAGACGAAACGCTTTAGGGATTCCGGGCTTTTAATTGTCGATAATACGACGAAGATGTCGATTGGCGTCTCTCCCGCGCATACAGCGAAGAAGAACGGGGGCTCGTCTCGAAGCGAACGAGAGTCCTTCAGACGACGAGCGCTATGCTATTTAGAAATCTACTCGAACATACAAAGGGATGTCATCCCTCTCGGCGGAGGTGGCGATGCCATGGCCCGAGTGCTCTCTCGTGCCACGTACAGCACGCGCGTCGCGCACGCACACGCGCACGATCGCTCGCCCCGCCGCGCCCCGGTTGTCAACTTTCAATAGCGCGGGGTCGAATAACACCGGCGAACTTTGCAATACGCGATACGGGGTGGCAAGGAAAAATGGGGGAGCGTCGAAGGCGCGGGAGCGGAAAGCGGGAGGACCACCCGCGTATTGTTCGAAAATGTGTCGACTCGTTAGCCTCGTTTCCCCCTCTCTCTCTCTCTCCTGCGTTAATACTAGAACAATCGGACAGGAGAACACTTAACGGGTTTTCGTCGGCCATGAATTTTCTATTTTTGCAAATATACTCATGTACGTACTCTCTTTTCGAGGGTTTGTTTAATATTTGTTGCTTGATTTCAGAAACTTGTGAGAAAGTTTCAATGGATTTTATTGTTTCGTTGCTCGCATTGTTTAATTTTTACCTCCCGTGTGTTTTCTTTTTTTAAGGTGCTTCTGATAAGTTGCCATTGGTGCAGAGAGTTAATGACCTAGTTTCGTTACCCTTTCGATACGCTTTCGTACGATGCAGAGAATGTATTACTGAAATATCTTTACCGTGTGCACGCGGGATGCAAGAGTGGAATTTTGAATTTCAAGTTAAGAACATTACATGTGAAAGCCTCTCGCGTGGAAAATTAAAAAGCGCGCTTTCGAATACTAATGCGCTTTGTATTCATTGTAATTCCATTAACTTCAGACTTTATCGAAATGTATTTGAAACTCGTCTATCTCATTTATTCTGCCTTTACCAATAAGACACGAGCGAGACTTTTGAAAAGGCTAAACTTAAGCGAATGTTAAATCTCAAATGTCACAAAAGGGCTACGTGAAAAATATCAAGTTAACATCGTTTTCAATATAATACGAATAATTTCTAGTGTAAGAATTTAAACGTTCATGTTTATACACCACTTCATTATAAACTTAATGAAGCTAAAAAAGAGATCTTACTGACTTGCATTTTTCATGTTAAGATGAAAAAATTGTACGAGGAGAGAGTGCTACAGTGTAACAGGAGTCGACTCGGCGCACTCTGCCGGTTTCTTTATCCGAAGGTTGATTTACGTTAGATGCCGGGTCAAAGAGCGGTCGAGTACTTTAGCATTAGACCGAGGATGCTGCGGACGGTGCAACCATCCTTGTGCATCACGCTGCTGCAACTGAGTGCAACCACCGGAAACGCAAACGTCCTGGCATCGCGTTGTTGCTTCAAACGACAAGCGCGTTTGTAGTATCGTTCCTCTCTCGAGGAAGGCAACGATGGAGAAGTCAATTTTAAGAGATAACAAGCTCTTATTGATAAGCACAGACGAGTCCATTGTAATTCTCCGGAAGGACACTGAGAAGCGTCGCTCTCTCTTTCTCTTTCGGAGCCTTTGGCGCATAAATTAACTGGCAGTGCATTTCGCTTTGTTTTCAGTACGATTAAAGTGTTAACGTTATGTGCCACAGTTTTCTGAAAATATTCTTTACTCTCGACAAGAACGCGTTCTGAACCCTTCGTTTCTTTTTTATCCTCTTACAACGCGATCTTGTTCAGTTCAAAATATGTACAAATATAAGAGTCACGCGGAAATTAAAGTTGCACGATTCGCTAAATAACGAATTATCTTTTGATGAACAATAGATTATCAAGGCGTGTAAGTGTCTACAAATCACAGTATTCCACCTTACACGCGGCTTATGTTTCCGTAAGATACCTTTACGCGCTGGAAAGTTAATAATTTCTATTTGCGTCTAATTAGGCGCGACGTCGGCAGGTTTCCGATGCACAGCGCATTGTGCGCATCGATGCGCAATTATTAAGACCTCGCTCGTTCTCGAAGCTCCAGCTCGTTACGCAAGCTTCTCGCGTTCTCCCGGCGACGTATCGATTCCTGCCAGACGCGCGGTAGAACCTGACCTACGAGTTTACGCGCGTACGAGCCGCCCGCAACGCGAAATATCTCGCGTATAAATTGCTCGATCACCGATAGAGCCCGAGCAGCACGAACATGAAAATACAAACGGCCATCGTCGGCATGTATCAGTTCCGAATAGTTTATTATCGTCATAAACCAGACTATGCCGACGTTCGCGAGCAATTCGAGCGTGTATTTTGCCACGAGCACCGATGCGCTAGTCCGCGCGAGAGTTGCATCGCGAGCGTGGACAGGATGGGTGGGTTTTATCATATAAAAAAAAAATTTGCAATGTTCTTTCGAAACGATATTTGCACTCGCCAAGTAAAACAGACGCGCCGACATCGTCAGTCATTATCACCGTGCACGTTGGAATTTTTCTGCAATTTTCGGAGGATACGTTACAGTTTTGTACGCCAATAGCGGAGTTTTCAGTTAGCTCCGAGTGCGCGATACGCGAACGTCTCCCGGACGTAACGATACTTGTATTAACTATATCGTCATGTTCTGTCGTTCGTGAAATTAAGATCAGGTCTTTCGATTCACTATACGGAATTACTGACGCAATTGTCGCTTGTAAGGGACCACGGTCGAAACGTTGCGAGTTTAAACGTAAAAATTTGCCAGACACACTGTTAGAAGTAGATCTATCACACATGTGTGAATATTAACACGTCACACACTTGAAATGTGTGAATATTAATGCGTCACACATATTTAATGCATAATTTTTCAAACGTCATGCATTATCCTCTTAATATGCGCGTGTGAAATGCATTAGAGAATGTGTGGAAATCACACACTTCAATGTGTGGATTTTATCAAACATCTAATAATGTTTGAAATAGTCAAACATCGTAATATTCACACATGTGTAATATTTCTATACGTTTGAATATAATACACTTTGGGAAAATTGACACACTGAGTATAGTAACGCACTTACTAGTCACACACTGATCAGTTACATACTGCAACTACTCCAGACAACATCGTGCGAAATCAGTGCTCGTTGTGGATATCCTACCGTGTGTTATCTCATCCGTTTTGTGCTTCGGACGATCGTGAATAAAGTGCCTTCAAGTCTAGACTGTGTCCTGTTGTTAACATCTCGGAAACCTCGTTCTTCCTCTTTATTTCTGATTCATGCTCTTTCCGCTAACCTCCCGTTTCCCTAACCTAACCTAACCTCCCACTTGGATCGCATCATATAATGTAATTAGTTGTTTTAAACGGCAAGAAACGTGTAAAAAGTGCTTTCACCAAATTACATATGTGTATAATAGTAAAACACTTGGATTTGCAATGTAGTGCAATCTTTTTTACACATTTATTGATACCTTGAAAATTACACACCTAAATAAGTTATACACCTCCATTTGTGTGAAAAGACACACGCCAATAAAATCAAACATCCATTCGTGCATGAAAAAGTCACACACTTACAGACGTCTTGAAACGGCGGACACACATCACATGCGATAAAGTGTGTGATATTCACACACTGCTTCTAACAGCATGGTCAAGTAATCTTCTGAATTTTTTCATACTTCTGGTGACTTATCAGATTTCCCCCAGTCATTAACCACGTTGCTTTATTTTCACATCATTTTGTTTATTACTGGTAGATAAGGACAATCGGTTGTGTCGCCATTTGCTAAGTTAATTTTTGTCGTTTAGCTCGTTGGTTAATTGAATCCAAATTAAGTTTAATTCACATTTAAAAATGCACGTCTAATTTAATGTAACTAAAAACTCGACATTTTAATATATTTCTTAAGGACGGGAACCCCTCGACGAGAAACATCACGTTGAATCCGCACTTCTATCGCAATGTATCCTGTATATTTCCAAGCGCATTTGCGTTTGCCTTACGCACAATGATGCATCATTATAATTCTATCGCATCGTCAGTTTTGCCGACGGTTTTTTCGCGATATCGGCGCGCTGAAAGTTCTGGGTCGGCGTTTTCCGGGTAGCCGGGTCGGTGGTTGAAGGGCCAATTCAAGGGAGGATATTATGTAGCCTTAGGGAGATGCTAGGTGGTGACGTCCCGTTGAAGTTCCCGGAAGCGGAGAGAACACAGGAAGGCGGCTCGCAGCTCGCTGAGGCACACGAAGGCGAAGAGGTGCGAGGATATTGCATTCTGCTTGGCAACTTCTACAGCGTGCTATCTCTGTTTCTCGCTTTCGAACGCGTCTTTCCTCTCGCTGTCTCTCCCGTACCGTCTATCTCTTATGCTCCCGGTGATCTTCCGTCAGCATTCTCCTCTACGAGAAACTTAGCAAAGGGTCTAACGGATTTACATGCACGTGCTTGGATCTGTGTGGCTGGATAGTGTTTACGCTTGAAATAAAGCTAAGCCCGCCCTCGTCTTTCCCCTCTCTGTCGCGTTCGAAAGTGTTAATGCAGTCGCTATCGGATGATTCCTAATGAATGGCAATAACAACGATGAGGAGCGAGATTAATGTGTCGAGCAAAGGTGAGAATGAATTGCTGAACACGATCTCGCAAAGCGAGACTCGGCAAGGTTATCGTTTTCGAATTCAATTCAACACTCGGCAGATTAGAAGATACGTAATTACGTTTTCTCCGATATAGATAAGTAAAGCTATAATTACGCTAAACGATTTCTCATCAAAGCGGCCCTTTTTCCAGCAGAAACTTCTTTATTTTAATTCTAACCTAATGGAATATTTTTATCTCCCTTTGTCTTTGATTCTAAAGGCTTGTATTCGGCTCTCTTAAATTATTCGACAGTTAGATACTGTATTTTACTGTAAAAAAAATAGTTTCATACAGCTTCACTTTAATAACGGAGACCGGACCAAACTTGACGCAATGTTTTCAAAGGCAATTTTCAACGACTAATTAAAATGTTGCGACGAAAATTAAAATTAGCGATCGCTTTCACGTTTGCCTCTGATATGACCGACATTGCAGGATGCGATTATAAATATCACATGTGATTCTGTTTACGTAAAAAGATGGATTATGCAACAACGGTAATTAACATCTCATCAGACCGTATACGTCTTTTGATCTTTAATTTACGAAGCGTGGGTT